CTCAAACTACAGAATGCCCTAGTGGTTTTGTAGTAGTATTGGTCCTCACCACACAGTCCTCAAAGCTGAACATGAGTTAACTGGGAAAATTAATGTAGAATTATGGTCTAGTTCGTTATTAGTACTACTCTAATAATAGTTCTGATCCTAAAAGCACAAATTTGTCACGATGTGACTATCTAATCTACAAGATCATACGTCGTAATCACAGCATTGTCTGCGCTGGCTCACCGTATCACAACAATTAACAATATGATACGTAATACTTCTGAAGAACACATTTAAGCTGAACATAGAATAATGCATATAATGTGAATAAAAAAGAGTTGAGCAGAATGGCCAGGTCTGCGAGGCTGAGCCATGCTGTCCGACTGAATGCATGAATATTCCTGCGTCCATCAGTGTTGGCATTCTGTTTTAAATGTTGAATATATATTTATCCAATGATCTCATATTCAACTTTGAGGATTGTGTGGTTAGTACATTTGAGTATAGGCGTCTCAGAAGTGCTTTTCTGATGACTTGCAGGCCTCCGAACACCCAATGAAACTCATTCTCAGCACGAAACTTAGAGGTGACATGGATATTATAGACATGACGAAGCAGAATGGACTGTAGGCCCACCTTTTACAGTTTCTGAGTAATCAAGCTCTGAGATTCGCTGCTATATAAGATGGTCCGAAAGACTTCCCACGAGTACTTTAAGAGAAAACGTGGAGCGATTTTAGGGACTCAGGCGCTCGTTTCAAAACGGGCAGTGATTTTGTACTTCTTGTGATTATCCTTGCTACGTTTACTTGTTGCACCCAGAAGCATTCTTGGTCTATTTTAAGCAAAAGTACTTTGGTTAAGGTTTGAAATTTTTGCTAAACTTTGTCCTGTGGTACCTTTTTTACTCATTGACTGACACTCGTGTTCACAATGTGATCATATTGTGTTCTAAAACTTTTTAGTCAAATTACAATGGTTAGTAAGACTGAAAAATGTGGACAACCAAACCGCTTGTTCCCCGTTGAGGAAGGAATACTGTGAGATGAATGTAAAAAGTGGTGCCATGAGATGTGTACACGTCTAAGTCCTACGGCATACAAAAGATGCTCGAAACCTAAGTTGCATTGGCTTTGTATGTTTTGCTGTACAAATAAGAAGTTACTAATCCAGGAAGCTATGAGCCTATTGGCTTTGACCTGTAATAAAAACGATGGTGGTTGCACTGATAACACGAGCACTCACGGTGAAGAACGTGTCAGTGTAGTACGTGCTGCTACCGGACCCGTTAAACACCCGACTGTGATTGACGGGAAAGTGAAGTCTCCGTTAACATTAACGAGGAATGAAGTGCCGCTTGATATTGACATCGGTAACCATACACCTTCAGTACGGAGAAAAGGAAATGAGAAGAAAAAAGCTTTGGGTAAAACACAGCTGCTAAGCAAGTCATTTGGAAGAGATGTAATCAGAAAAAACTCCGCTGCGTATCAAGAAAGATCTCTCTGAGAGGTCAACCATTTTTCATAAGTTAGGAGAATCTTCCTTTAAGGAACCAAAGGCTAGATTTGAACATGACCTCAGTCATATTAATAAGCAAACTACTACCAGATACAGTTTAAGGAGTTAGTGTTTTTAAGCTTTATAGAATAGGAAAAAAGGTGGATTCTGAAAGTCATCAGAAAAACCGCCTTTTGAAGGTTACATTTGCCACAGTTGAAGAAAGGAGCCGGATTCTAGGTAACTCACGTAAACTGATTTGATCTGGAATATACGTCCGTGAGAATTTCACCCTACCTGATGGTATTAAGAGACGAAATGCTGAAGTGAAAATAAATGAGTGTCGCCGAAACGGTGAAAGAAACCTCATTCTTAAGGGTTTTCAAATTGTAAAAGTTCGGAGCAGAACGATCACAAAAGCACTCTGGGTGATAAGGGAAAGTTCTTCACAGACTTAAAGGTATGCCACGCAAATGCTTGCAGCCCTCTAAGTAAAATGGCGGAGCTCAAGCCAATGGTGGATAAAGAAAAACCGGATGTTATTGCTGTTTCAGAAACTTGGTTAGCGTCAGAAGTATTAGATAATGAAATTCATTTGACTGGTTTTTTAACCACTTGGGCTGATAGAATAGACTGTAGGGGAGGCGGGGTTATCCTATACACAAAAAGCACTTTAACCAAAAGTGTAGCTGAGACAGTAGCACATGTTTCAGGGACATGTGAACTGGTGAGATGCAAGTTGAAATGCCGAAGGCAAGATATTGAATTAGTTGTAGTTTATCGCAGTCCAGAATGTGTAGCAGATGATTTTCTCCTCAGTAAACTTAAGTCCTGGTGTAACAACGGTAAAAGCCTTGTAGTAGGCGACTTTAATGCACCATATATAAACTGGGTTAACTTAGAAGTAGAGTCATCTATATCGTCGTTCGACTCCAAACTGTTAGAAACCTCGATTGGACTAGCATTATTCCAACACATTAGAGATCCCACAAGGTACGACTTAAGAAACTCTTCTTCTCTTTTAGATTTAGTCTTTACACACGGTGATGACGTTGGTCAAAAGGCTTTTCTCCCACCACTTGGGAGAAGTGACCATGCAGTCATCTTATTCAAATTCATGGCTGAGATTGCTTGTCAAACAATTGCGCCGGCCCGTCCTAACATATGGAAGGCAGATATGCAGGCAATTAACTCCGCAGCATCGGCTGAGAACTGGGAAATTGACTCAAAGGCATCAGTACAAGAGGCATGGACTCTATTCAGACAGTTATACAATCGGGTAACTCAACCATATATACCCTGGACTGTCCCAAAGAAAAAGAAGCACGGACATCCCTGGTTAGGGCGGGATATTCGACGCTTACTAAGACAAAAGAAGAAATGCTGGGATGTTGCCATCCGCCTTGGCACAGCAGGTACGATGGAACGCCACAGATCGATAAGAAACGTGTGTATAACTAAAATTCGGGAAGCGCAAAGAAAATACGAAATGCAGCTGGCAGAATCTGCACTCAAGCAGCCCAAGAGGATATTCTCGTACATAAACTACAGAACAAGGACTCATCACTGGATTCCCAACCTAATTAAAGTAGGAAGTGAATCTGAAATGATAGAGGAAGATCAGGAAAAAGCTGAGATTATGGCTGACTACTTTGGGGCAGTTTTCACTCAGGAACCTCCTCTAGAGGAAGAACCAGACCCAATTACAGAGTCAACAAACCAGCTGCTTACCGTGGACTTCGACCAAAACGATGTGCTTAAGGCTCTTAGCACCCTAAACATGGAGAAGTCAACAGGACCAGATGAACTACACCCTAAAATCTTGAGACATATTGCCCAATATATCGCAGCCCCACTGACTGTGATATTCAAAATGTCACTTGACCAAGGTGTGTTACCTATGGACTGGAAGGACGCAATCGTCACTCCCATACATAAAACTGGTCTACGACAAGTTCCATCAAATTACAGACCCGTAAGCCTCACCAGTGTTGTAATTAAAATACTGGAAAGGATAATCAAACGGACCATAACAGCATTTATGGAAACCAATAACTTGCTGAACATGGCACAACATGGTTTTAGAAAGGGTCTATCCTGTACAACGAACCTCCTTATAGCTAGGGAGCTCTGGATTAATGCGCTAGACAACGGAAACTCAGTGGATGTTGTCTACATAGACTTCAGTAAGGCTTTTGACAAGGTGCCAACTAATAGACTGCTATTGAAGTTGGCAAACCTTGGTATTGCCGGACCTCTTTTAAAATGGATTAAGGATTTCCTAGTAGGTCGTAGGCAAAAAGTAAGAATAAATTCCAAGTGCTCCATCTGGAGACCAGTACTTAGTGGAGTACCCCAAGGTTCCGTCTTAGGTCCTTTACTTTTTATAATGTACGTTAATGATCTTACAAGTATAGTACAGTCTCCAATGTTATTATACGCTGACGATGTAAAAATTTGGCGAGTAATAACTGGTGACACGGACGCATTTACTCTTCAGGCGGACTTAAATAATATGATAAACTGGTCTAAAGAGTGGCTAATGCCTATCAACTCGGAAAAGTGTGTCTACATGCACTTGGGGGATTCAAAGGTTAATACGTACAACATAAGGGATGTCATTACCCATAGTCCGGTCTCATAAGGACCTAGGGGTGACAGTGAGCAATGATCTTAAGACGACGGCCCATTGCCGGGAGGTCGCAGTTAAGGGGTTTCGAACCCTCTGGGATTTAAAAAGGACATTCACTAAGCTTGATACTACCATGTTCACCACATTATACACATCCTTAGTGAGAACTAAGTTAGAGAACTGTGTTCAGGCTGCAAGCCCCTGTTTAAAAGGTGACTCAGACATACTAGAAAAGGTACAGAGGGCAGCTACGCGTGCAATTCCGGAACTCCGGGGTTTATCATATGAAGAGCGGCTTGAAAAACTGAACCTCTTTACTCTGTCCTATCGCAGACTAAGGGGAGATCTAATATTGATGTACAGAATACTGAGAAATGATTTCGGACCTAACTTATTCTCTCTCTTTCTTCCCACTAGATCGGGACACCTCAGAGGACATAGCAGGCGAGTAGAAAAGCCAAGAACGAACAAAATACCCCTGGCATACAGGTTTTCACACCGAGTCATCAATACTTGGAACCTGCTGCCCGAAGCAGTGGTGTCCGCATCCTCAATTGACTCTTACTAGAGAAGACTGGATTCTCACAGAAGCACAATAGAAAAAGCATAACACAGGCCGTAGGCCTTCCGTCCTTACTGCACGAATGTGAATCTGAAATATGAGAGTGTTTCACTATACTCCACTAATAATTCTCTTTCCATCGTTAAATATAGCTAAGTTCTTACATGGAGGCATCAGTGACCTATTGATACTAGATAGAGAAGCTAATCAAGCGAAAGCTTCATATATTCCATCCAAAACCATTTGAACTACTTTTAAATTTAAGGTGTTTTTTGTTTGAATACTTCGAATCTTTATGTTGCTGATACTTTTTGGGAGCGCGTTTGTGAATCTACTCAGATTTACTGGCGACTGACAGTCTTACTCGTCGAGGTGATTTAAGTTCACTAAAGCTGTCTCTAAGTTGGTTGTTCATCCATTCAAGAATCTGCTCCTAATTGATGAAAATTTAATATTCATTATATCCAGTAAAAATTATCCTACCCGCATTACTACTGGCATTCTAAACATGGTCCTAGGGTATAGTTATTCTTTAGACTGTGATTCAGAGTCTGGAAAGAATAACCTTGTTGATTTGGAGGAATTCCCTGCCTTAACAAAATCAAAACCTATCAGCTTCAGCGGTGTAACGTGGAAAAGCCAAGTCTTTGTTCCTACTGAGGATTCCATCGAGTCAGAGGCCACTGGAAATAACTGTTTGAATGTCTCTAAAAAGAAACGCCTAAAAAAGAAGAAGAAAAAGATTCTTTGCAGTGGGGAAAGCACTGATGATAGCTCTCCTGCGAAGTGTTGTGACTTCTGTTTTTTTGTGAGCGAAGAAGTGGAAAGCACAAGTAAGTTCACAATGTTTGCATACGTTTTTTTTTGTATCAGTGAATGCAAGTCATCCTCACTGTAGGAACCAGCACCTTCGTACTAGCATTTTTGGACTTTATTTTTGGTGAATTCATATTTTCACGAATCTATGTATTTATATGACTCAGGCGTATAGTCTCTTAAAGGTCTCATCTGAATGGCGCAAGTAATAACATTATTGAAATAGTATTAAAATATGTTTTTAATGACAATATTGTGTCAGTTGTCAGTTATCGTTGCGTTAAAATTTTATAACCCCAGGAGTTGACTGGTCTCAGTTCTACTGTTAAACGTAGTGCTCATATAATTCTCGAGAACCTTAAACTGCATTAACTTAGATTGAGATTCCATTTTATTTTCTACTAGAACATACAAGTCTCTCAGTTTTGACGGCTTATGTTAACAATTAAAGTGGATGTTCTACAAGCTATCTCAAGTTATTTTACAGTGATCCGCAGCAATGAGCCTAACGACGGGACCGACCGTAATTTTAAGTTGATTAACAATATAATCTGATAATTTCAAGGGACATTGTTCATAATGGCTGCATTGGCAGACTGCTTTATGTGTACTAGAATGAAGTCAGTGCTTTATCTAGTGTTTCTGTTATGTCCCGATAAGCATAATGAATGGTAACTTTGGGATCCATTTATGGATCAATACTAACATATATTTTTATCGTATAATGGTTAAACAACTGAGCTATTCATATTTATATTCCTCTTATTATAAGCTTCATTTTGACCTATGAACCATTATTATACGTTTTACCGTTCTTGAATTAAGCTGTCTATTAGCCACTGCATCCCACATTCACAGCCACACTTGGCCAAATTTTCTACAAATGTTATTTTCTATTTTATGGTACGTTGTAATCTGTCTGATCGGTATATAAACTCAGCATGTTTGAAATATGATTCATATCGCAGAGGCGCGGATTGGTGTTCTAGACTTAACTGGCTGAACTAGGCGGAAGGCAGGACCAATCAGGACTCTAGGCTGCTCATACGGGTTTACGCGTCATTGATCTGTTCGATAAGTCACTGCCCTCTAATCGGCGGTCACAAGTATAACAGTTGCTTCGTTTTGTGGTATTCCACATGTAACTAGATCTGATAGTAAACCTATCATGTTGTAGATAATTGTGTGAACGTTAGACACTGAGGATTCTTTCGATACTTATATCACTTGTAAACCTTGTAAGTCTTAATGTCAATATGGATTTTCTAGTACCTTCATCTCAGACAGCATTTTATTTTCTGAGTAAATTTTTGGCTTCATCATTGATACTCTTGTTTTTAGAACTATCTGGAATGTAATATGTAATGTTGGTCTTCAGCGTCACAACTGTATCGACTTTTGTGGTTAACTTGGTAGGTTTGGGCTGGCTAGTTATGGTCTAGATATAATTTTGATCAGTGGTTGTAAACATTGGGCAACATGGCTCAAAGTCATCCGCGTTCACGTGAGCTGTGTCTGTTCCTAGATCCTGGGTTTCGAAATTATTTCGTACTTTTTATTCCTCCAGTTATTTCTCTCTCCAACCGTATAATTCGCGTCTAATCTTTCTTGTTATCAATGATACTATTACTACCAGTACTAATACCGATTGTGCTACTTCTAACACTACTACTTCGTATTCATACTTTCATCTTGCCTTCTTAATGTCGAGTGGGAGGTTTGTTTTGTTTATTTGGACATAGATGTTGTTACGAGAAGGTATCAAAACACAAGCAACACAAGAAAATGAAGTTGTGAGATAGGGAAAGTGAACATAATAAAGAGAACAACAATGCTTAGAAATCAGTGTATGAGAATGAAGTAATAATGATAGTTATGATAATAATAGCCGTAGTGAGAGGATCACTCCAGCTAAGGAAAATAAACTTAGTAATAATTCTTTTAGTTAAAGAAGCTACTCACTTTTATTGAGAAAGTTAAGTCACCGCAGGATCACCACTAACTTCTATTGTGAACCGTGTATGATAATGTTTCAAGCTACTGTTGCACCATCCTTCGGACCCTAACCAGGCAGCCGTGAAGAAATAACAGAAATCAGTCCTGTACAGCTTCCATTCCATAACACTCATGCACTGGCCATCTCTCCGCTTTTTCCAACCAGCCTCAGCGTCGCCAAATAATGCAGGATGTGAAATTTTCTAAGACGACATCCGTAAGACATGTCCGAGCTACCAACGTCGGTGTTTCAAGATGGTGATACTAAACGAGTTGTCGTCACTGTGCCCGGACACACGTTACCGAACCTCTGCATTACTAACATGTTACCACTGGATGTCAGCAATCCTTCGGGCACAACGATGATCAAACAGAGAGTTGTCTGACATCCTCAACTTGAAGAGGCCGGGTTTAACAAGCATAGAGAAAAACTGTTCTGGACGGCGCATTATGATTCCAACCTTTTACTGACAAACTAACATCACGAAGACGCCCATAATGACCTAGATTAGCATAAGCCGCTCTGGCTTTCAGTACATGTTAATTGCGATTCCCCCTCTCGAAATGCGAAATATTGTTTCAGGATTGGGTTGCACCGGCACATGAACTTATGATAGGGAGTGAAGTAGTTGAGCGTGTCAACCACTTCACTTATCTTGGGAGTCTCATCAGCCTTCGTGGTCCGATGTGACGAAATCTCAGCACAGATACAGAAGGCTCAACTAGCTTTTGTCAACTTACATCATTTATGGCGTAGGCGAGATATCCGTCTATCAACTAAAGGACAGGTTTGCTGCACAACAGTTTGTTCCGTCCTGCTTTATGGCTGTGATACATGGCCGGTAAGAGTAGAGGATATTCGTGGGTTACTAGTATTTGATCATAGATGTCTTCGAAGCATTGCTCGTATATCCTGGGACTATATAATGCAGCTGTTAGGAAACGGGTACTGGGTAAGGATGACAAATAAATTGATGAAGCTTCACTACTTCATCAGTTGAGATGGCTGGGACACGTGTTACGTATGCCCAACTATTGACTGCCCCGATGTGCGATGTTTTATAGTGTAGGAGTAGGTTGGAAGTAAGGTAGAGGCGGCCAGACCGAGACATGCCACAAATCCATGAGGTCACTGAAAAGTGGACTGAGTCATGTTGATAGATGTAGACTACCTGGTTGTGATCCGAGAGACGATAACAACCAGTGGTTAGAGACCTTGAATGACATGGCTCAAAATCGTTTGCAATGACGCAGGTGCATCCACTCTTTGTGTTCTCCCAAATCATAATCTTCTGGATTCTTCATGTCCCATTTTTATCTTTCCAAATTTATTTCACTGGATTATACTCGAATAACATCTTCAAACCGTAATCTTCCCGATTACCGCTTATACTTTTACTAGCTCTATCACTACGGGATTTGAATCGACAGTTGTTTCTCTGTGCTAATGTGGTATGGAAAATGCAGTATGGACTGATGTACGTACGTACGGAATTCTACGTTGTTGCTAAGTGACTGACATATTAATTGACTTCACACTCCCCGCCGCTGGCACTCACATAGCTGCCCAAATACACGAAATTCTCAACTACTATCTGTTTACTAACAAGAGTAAGTCGAGGTTCCGGGTGCTGATAGTCTTGTAAAAGTACTTTGCACCTTCACATTAAAGTTGCTACACTTGCCAATGTCACAGAGAATCAGCATAAACGCCTAAAGTGCGACTAATACCACTTCTTGTATATGTATATATCGTGTCAGAAGTCAGTACTTTATGTACTGTTATATTCATACTCCTATGATACTGTTGCATGTACTACCTGAATGTTCAAATATAAATATGTTTTCCTATAGATGTTTCATCTGTTTAGATAAATTTTAATTAAGCCGCTGTCCCTATCGTCAAATTGGATAACTGAGTCACATCGGCTGTTTGTGTATGCGATTGAAAAACGTTTGGAATCACTATGTCAGTTTGAAAACCTCTGCTTTTATCGAAATAAGTGTAGTTTGAAACTTTTGAACGAAAGCTTACGAAATTATTATATTACGTTACGATAACTATCAAAATGTTCACCTACCTAACTATAAAAAGATTTTTGTTGTAAGTTTTATGTGATTTATGTGTTCAACATTCGCTTCCTTTAATAATTCATTCGTATTATCATGTAAACAGTTCAGTTAATAAGATGATTTTCTATTCTTATTAACAGAAGCAAATCAACCGTCATTTCGTGAAACTCATTTCGAATTCATAAAAAGGTGAGTGCAAAGTAGTTATTTTTTGTACCAGCAGTATGCTTTGCATATTTTGCTTTAGCATAAATTAACGAAGCAAATATTATTGTTTTGATGTGACTTTTACGTTGCCTTTTAACAGCATCACTTCAAACTAAAAGATCTTAAAAGTATTGTGATAATCAAAACACTAACATTGCTCACTTATCTTATGGGTTATTCCCAAACGCAGCTGAAACTAAAGGATGCTTGAGTAGTTATCAAACCTTAGTCTAACAAACGCACTAATAAGTAATAGCAAACTGAAGGTGATGTTATGTGACGGAATTAAAATACAGTCCCTATACTGTACCTTTATTAAAGCATTATTCCAGACAGATTCATATTACATAAAAATTATTAAGGGACATGTGTAAGTGCAGTGTCCCGAAAAAAGTGGGTTTTTTGTGTCAATGGCTAATGTAACGTTGTCGCACCTTTTATTCTTTTAGGCCTATCGACATGTTGCAACTGACCGGATCTAATGCGGTAGTTCTATTTCAATATGCACATCCATCACAACTATTTAGGTATTCAGAATTAATGAATTACGTATCACTTGAATATTTATTAGTCCAACTTGACATATTTTTCTCCAGTTAGTCAGTGAGTTCTCTTATCTGTACTTCTCAAGATATAATTGTAGTATTCTAAAACAAACGTTTCTGTACCTTATGTTCGTAATTTTGAAATTGTATTTCTGTAAATACCCTCTTCAGTGAACCCAACTCCATGTTTGCAATCACATCCGGAGACAATAGTCCATTGAATTCTCTTATTATAATATCAAGATCTTAGTTGTTAAAAGTGTGTCTAGATATCCTCCAATCTGGTTAGTTAGATCCTCGTTATTATAAACCTCACTATCTTCCGTTGGTTCACTACCACATATTTTTACGAGTCGTATCTAGTTGCTAGTTGTAACTGTTCATCTCATCCACATATCAGACATTAATGCTTTATCTGGTAGGGAAGTAAAATCTATTTCACGTCGAGTTTATTTCCTCACCACTGTTAGCAATGGGGGCAAAACCAATTTTAAATATACTTTCTGGCATAAAATCTACATTATGAACACCAATTTTGTATATTTTTGATCAATCTGATTAAATAGTTTGCAGTTTACTGTTGTACGCACCTGATGACGTAGATCGTTTTCAAAAATCAGTAAACTTTAATATTCAAAAATATCGCACCATATGTCTGTCGTATTTCGCCTACTACCTACGTGTTTTTCTAAACAAAGAAACAAGATGATTAATTATTGGTGTGTATCATGCGTAACTATGACCTAGAACGCAGATATTTTGGGTGTGTCTGACCTTAACCTGAATATTGGAGGGGGTCGTCAGGTGACTAATTTGTACGGTGTATGTCCGTTCGCCTATCATTCTTAACCTAGTAATAGGATGCCTTTGGCTTAGGTAATGTCGTCATCTATTGTCAGACAATTTTAGGGTCAATTCATTTTTGTGTGGATTGCTATGACATGCTGTGATTATAGCTATAAAATAATGTAAACGAGATGGCCGAACCATGTCTGCATATAAAAAGGTTCAGTTAGTCAAATAATGTTTTCTGGGTCTAAACTTTAAACTAGGTATGCTGCACTTCTGAAATCATTCATTTATACACAACACAGGACCTGATATAAACACTGCTAGACTGCATCTTTTTAGCGAGAGAAAACTGAAAGCAAAAGTAGTGTTAGTTGTAGTAAAAAAATATGGGTATACTGAAAATAGTTAAGAAAGAACAAAATAAATTAAAGGATAAAATAAATGAAGTTATAAGTAAATTCAAGAATAAGTGAACTGAATACACATATACTGATGCGGCGAATTTTAACACATGGCACCGAACAACTCTAACTTAGAAGTTTGAGCTCCCGTTCAGAGCTCAGAATAGCATTGGATGACTTTCTGAACTGATGTTGTTGGTTTGACCGTTATTAACTGTCGACTTCCGACTACTATGATAGCCTCCATTACGTATTAGAATCGGGAGTGGCTGGACATGCGTAACATGTATGAAAATGACCCCGTTAACATATTTTTCTTGGTTTCACTAAACCCAAGCAGCGTTTTGGAAATATCTGTTGTCAAAATTAGTTACCTACACGTGCTCTTTGCCTTCAAAACCCATGTTTAACAGCCAAAACGTTGTTCAAAGTGAACTACACAATACACTGGCCATTTAGTCGTAATGACTACTAACTGATAACCATGGTGGTTTATAGCTTATGTGACCAAAGTCAGTCAGCAAAGTTATATAACAGTCAGTATTCCAAATAAATCGATTTTGTGACGCAAAATGTTCAGTAATGTTGCTAGCCATTGGGCGACCGGTTAACGCTTTGTTGGGATAACTCTCAACTTCTGTTCAGATGCGGATTTCAAAGTACAACTTCGAAAGTACTACTAAGCTTTTTCATTTCAGTCAGTCAGTCAGTAACAACGTAGAACTTCGTACGTACGTACATCAGTTCGAGTTGCCACACCACCTTAGCACAGAGATGCAGTTGTCGATTCAAATCCCGTAGTGGTAGAGGTAATAAGAGTATAAGCAGTAATCGGGAAGATTAGGGTTTGGAGATGTTTAAAGAGCATAATCCAGTGAAATAAATCTGGAAAGAGGAAAAAAGGGACATGAAGAATTCAGAAGATTAGAATTTGGGAGAACACAAAGAGTGGATGCACCTGCGTCATTGCAAACGATTTTGAGCCATGTCGTTCAGGGTCTTTAACCATCGGTTGCTATCATCTCGCGGTCCCCAACCAGGTAGTCTACACCTACCAACATGACTCAGTCCACTTTTCAGTGACTTCATGGATTTGTGCCATGATTTGGTCTGGCCACCCCTAGCTTTCTTCCAACCTACTCCTATACCATTGAACATCGCACGTCGAGGCAGTCGGTAGTTGGGCATACGTAACACGTGTCCCAGCCATCTCAACTGATGAAGTTTCACTACTTCATCAATTGATTTGCCATCTTTACCTAGTACCCGTGTCCTAACAACTGTGTTACTTACTCGATGGTCGCATGATATATATATATATATATATATATATATATATATATATATATAAATGGTACTTCATGCATAAGTCCGACAACCTATTAATACCCCTTGATCTACTTGTTGTACATAATTTTCGTTGTAAAGTGATAATATCAATTAATTCAAACCATTTTTCGTTTATATTTCTAGTCACACTAAATCAGATACAATAGTAACCAATGGTGATAGTCATTTAACAGAATCTTCAATTGTTGAGGTTACTAACCCATTTCAGGTGGAAGATGAAGGTTTCGTTGACGAGTTAATTGACTATGCAACTAACCATCATCTTGTTTCTTATTCTTTTCCCACGAATACGTCAAATATTCTGTCCTCTGGTTCTACTCAGCACTCAATCCAATCTAGACCTATTTACGAATCACGAATAATTAGTCCCACATGTCCGCTAAACTCCACAAAAGATCAAATGGCTGCATTAGGGTTGAATCACTCTGTGTCCAATGCTTTAAAACTTCAAACAAATCCTATTAAAGTAAGTAAATCATCTGCACCATTTTTTGGTTACATGGGCTACTTAATTCAACGGTAAATAATCATTCACTAGATTGTCTCAGCTAATTCATTTTCAACCCATATTTTGATATAGAACTGAGAAATCACGTCTCTATGGAGTTTCGTCTACTAAATAACCTTGAGAAATGCTTTATCGAATGACAATTTTTAACACACAAGAGTTACAGTTGTTGTTAACCGTTGCTTTATATAAAGCTCCTGTTTTTTGTAATATTGTGTTATGCAACCATGCTAACTACTTTGTTACCGTATATTGTTATGGTGTCAGTACTTATAGTTTGTTCCAGATTAATTTGTTTTTCTGTTTATCATATGAAACTTCAAGGTACTAGCTTAATTCGTATCCACATCCCTGATAATAAAATACACAGTATTCATAATTATCGAGTGATTTATATGCACTCAAAGTGCATGAAAAGTCCCATAATTCGATTAGCGTAAATGACCATCTCTGGACTTAATATTAAGACGTGGATTTACCCAAAATCTTTCGTAGAATGTTACTTTTGGAAGTTAAAAAGGACTTGAAATGACTAAATTGTAGAATGTAATTCGAAGTCGTGATTGTTTTGATCTTGAGTAACTTTAATTAACAGAAACCGGTGCATTTGAACAAGATTTATTATGAATTGTATTAATTGTATTTAAACTATTATCATACGGTTGGTTCGTTATGAATAACTAATCCATTTTATAAATTTTGGCAAATATAGATATTATTTTCATTTTTACTCCTATCTATAGTCAAGAATCCCTAATATTTGTTGGTCTTATATGTGTACACTTATAGGTATCAACATATTCGTTTTTTAACAAAATAACTAAGATGTTTTGGAAAATTTTAACAGTATTGCTTCTTTATGATGGAATATATATCCATGCGACAATAATTGTACTTTACAAAATAGTATCCCGAGAACTATGGAAAATGAGATAGTAAACATACTGAAGTCGAAAATTCGATTCACTAGATTCAGAGATATTAATCTTAGTTTCTATCGCATGTGGATTTGTGAATACAGATGATTTTTTCACTGGCCGATGAAAAATATCTGTGCATTAATTTTCAGTCTCAAACCACATATCTAAATATAAATGTAATTAAATGGGATCAACCTTCAACTGAAATATATATTTTTATATATTTTGCGGGTTTATTCACCCATTTACCAACTACTTACTCGTATAATTGCTTTCGAGGTAAATAATAAGTGTAAGGACTAGTGATATTACCCGAGTGCCCAGACTGAAGCAGAGGGTGAGCAGAATTAGAACTGACGACGTAGTGGCTGAAAAGCTCTCTACTATCTCATGGGTTCCTATAGATCCATCTGCTCATTATCTAGTATGTATATAATTTGCGAACAATTGTTTTAGATATTGATTCCTAAGCGATGTTATGACCTTGTACGTGACACCAATTTATTTATAATTAATTAAAGTTAGTATAATTCCCCCAGAAATATATAATTCTATAACTCACAAATACTGCTAATTTGTAAAGCTTCAAGGTCCGGTATCTTCGTGTTAACTAACATACTCAAATTCGAACTCCTGAGAACTGTCAGTCGTGTAAAATATCCCTAAAGTAATGGTTAGGTATTATTTAGTTACAGTAGTCACCTACATAAGTGTGAAAGGTTGCTCTAAAATTATTCTTATTATACTAAGAATTTCGAGCTGAATATACCGAAAATAACAAAAGTCCAGATCCTTTCAAAAAGTATTCCCATTTGTTACATTCCTGAAAATATATTTACTTAATTTTCTTTTTTTCGTTACAGTGCCCTTTTAAAGAAAAGACACTAAGAAATGCGCGACTAACTAATACAGAACAACATGCTCGAAGTATGAGTCCATCTAATCTTACTGACACATATCTATCTTCAAAAGATACAAATGATCTTATCGACGAAGATGATATGGAGGGTACAGATCTACTTCATTTAATCAGCAATTCATTAGATCGATTTAATGCTATTGTTCACCCACGAGATAATATATCAACATTAACATCTGGTTTAGGTGAATCTAGAAACATTTTATCAGAATCTGAGAGTAGTAATAGTTACTCTCAAGATTGTCTATTTCCTACTGATATTGTTACAAAACCTACTACAATATTATCTGCTGATAGAGTGAGTTTCTATAATTTGTTTATGATTGGTATTACTATGATTATGAGTATAATTGTCCTTCATCAATTTGTTCCTTGAAAGTATAGTGTAGAAACTGTTTTCACTAATCATTAATTCACATCATCATGGTATCTTGACTTCTGTCACCATAGTGTATTTCATCACAAGCCCTCGTGGAATTAAAGTGTGGCTAGAAGCAAAGCAAATTAACGTGGTCATATATGTATTCAGAGAGAGATTCGTTGTACTACATTAGTTTGAAGTAACAGACTACTAATTTGCTTTTTCTTTTGTTTTGAAACAAGATACATTATATTATTTATTCATTTTCTCTTGTCAGTGCTAAAATAAACAATAGGGATATCCTCACCAAATAGAAATAGGAAATATGTTTATCAGAATCTAGTTTCAATTGAGTAAATGAGTTACCTAGACCGTTTTCAGTATACATGTAGGCAATCTTTCTCTTTAACTCGTATATGCACCTTTCGTTTTTTGTTGAGAAGTAGTCTATCTACTGACCTTGATAATCAGGTTTAAAAAAAGGTTTATTGTGTAGTTAAAAATGTATGTTATCTATAGTCTTTGTTAATGGCATCAAATTATAATTTTTTGTTGGTATATATATGAGTTGTAACATAATTGAATACACACCCACTTAAATTTTCTGTGCAACTACTTCGTCTGTATAAATGGTTAGATAATCACTGTTAATGAGATTGGTAAATTAAACTTTGCAGCTTGACAAAGAAACCACTTTTTTATTCAAACTTCAATATTCTATATAAATTATTATTGGTTGTTGATTCACCACTTTGTTCATTGACAAAAAGGGTAATTCATGGTTCATGGCGACAGGTCATATCAGTACAAGATTACGTTTAGCAAACTAACCTTTAAATTCCCCAGATTCAGTAAAAGTTCAAATATGGTTGAGCAAACCTTTGTGGTCCATAATATTAACCATTTGTAACTAACGGATTTCATCGTTTCTATCACTCCGTCCACATATGTCAAGATCCAATTAAAATAATATTTCTTAGTTTAACAGCGGCTATTTGATTTCTTTGATTTAAAAAAAATCATATTACAGTGTCTGTCATTGAAAGATGAACTAAGAAGTACACTGACTTACTGGAGGCCTTTTGTTAGATGGGACACAGAGCTCTGCTTGTTTTAAATGCAAACAAAATACATAGTCGTTTAAAAGCCTTATGTAACAATGAAAAACGATCATACCGGACTAGTCCTCTCCGATGCCCAGTATAAACCCCACTCACTCACTTATGCCTGCTACTACGAATCGGTTATAGACAGTCGATCAGGGATCTCGAAACAACTTTTACCTGAGCTCTCCTCAGTTGTTGCAATCTTTTCTTATTCTTCATATCTGGCTTCAGTTCCCGGCATCATGTATTGTTTGATCTGCCTCTTTTTTCTGACCTTGAAACTTCCAAATTAAGTGTTACTTTGTGATTTCCGCAAGTGTGTCCTATCCACCTTCAACGTCTTTTCCTAATTTCCTCTTCAAGTGGAGGCTGGTTTGCTCTCTAACATTATCGGCGGTTTCTGATCGTCTGTGGCGAATGAGCCCGGAATATCTCGCGTAAACAGCTGTTTATAAATATCTATACTTTTTGGTTATGGTTATAGTAGTCCTCCACATTACAGATTTATGCAGTAGAACTGTTTCAAAGTTGGTGTTGAAAACTGTGACGTTATTGTTGTCTAACAGTTCTTTTGAATCCATATATTCTCCAATTTTAGAAATGCTGACCTTGGCTTACTAATTCGCAACATGGGATTTGCATAAGTTCCTCCTTGTTTATCACTGATGTCGTCCAGTTACATAAAGGCATCGATCTCCCCCACAACTTCACCATTAAGTGGTTCTTTAAATCACATTGGTGGCATTCCCTGCGTTTATGGGACATTTCCTTCCGCATGATCACGTTACGAGTTTCTTCCCCCTTCTTTTGTCTAATGAGTTTCACGTATCCCAAGTATAGACAAACTGCATTGTCTTCATTGTGTGGTTATTCTAATGACTCTCCCGGTCTTCCACATTGTTCGAAAGTTTTGTGTACCTATATTAATTGTTGCTCTGGTTGTCAGAGAGGCCTCTTGATTTCCAAAGAATCTCGGTTCCTATCATTAGGCGTGATAACTTTTGTATATGAAGACCCTTCAACATCTAAGAGACATTTTAAATAGTTTGGTTTATTTTTTTCTGGTTGGCGTGTTTTTAGCGAGTTTCCCTTTTACGAAGTGGGGTCGCTAACTTTACACTTAAGCCTCCTACTTTTCACGGACTTGCAACAACTCTAGAGGACCCCAGGTGGAGTTCTAGCCTAATTATAGGGAGCTAAGTATATGTGCCTTAGGCAATTCGCTGTTTTGAAGTCCCATCTCATGGTGAGTTGTTGAATAACAAACTCTCAGTGAACATAGAGAAGAATGTGCAATTTTTATCAACTTCATCTTTGGTATAGACGAGATGTATGTCTACGTAAATGTGAATGCTTTATGCTAGTTTAAGACTTAGAACCTAATGAATGTGCAAAGAAATATAAATGAGGAGTATTAAAAACCTTAGGTTAGCAAGAAACTTTCCTAATTTAAGTACCGTTACTTCAACGTATGATACGCATAATGTGATGTAGTTCCTATCACATTCATTTATGATAGCCAACTGGTCAATATTCAGTTGTTATTTAAAAACTTTCTTACTTTAAAAAGTGTATGATTTCAGTTATTTTGTATTTTCACTCAAGACAATTTGAGTTAATCTACTTACGGACTTTTTTTCCATGGTTATAAATAAGTTTAGACTTTTCATTCAAGTGATTCAACTCTACCTTCTATTATACAAAGAAGAAATCACATTATTCCATAGAATTCTGTAAACTGAATAAAATCTTTCATGGTATACATTTCACTCTTGTAATGTACTTACTCTCAAGATGTTGAACTATTATCTAAATGTTTTATATTCTCAATACACTGTAAACCATACGTTTATTTTTTGTATTTTATCTATGTATTCTTTCAATTACCAATTTTTGTTTTGATATGACTAGATAAAAAGGTAACATTTGAAGTCAGTATTTTTTAAATCACTGTTATTATATTCTACAGTTTAAAATCTATCTTACACAGTAAATTTCGTACTCGAAGATCATATTAACTCGTTAATCTTTTTTGCTTTTAAGTTTTTGTCAGTTTACAGTTATTGGAAAATCTGTCATACTGTGTACATGTGAAAATTTTTCTGTTTTCATCTTGTTAGCATAATTATCACTATACAATTGTGATTTTGAAAACAGCCTTATTTTAAAATGCTTTATTCTTATTCTTTGTGTGTTGTTGACCTTATGTTTATACATCCCTACCTTAAGCTCTTTATCCATCTGGTATGCACAACACAGATGACCTTAATTGACCTAAATATTAAGGTCTTTGTTTAATTCCTATCTCCACTCCTCAACAATTTTTCTTTTCCTATACTCTTCTAAAAATACATAAAATTTGACCAGACTGAATTTATAATCATTTTAATGGAAAATGTATTTATCTATAGGTAATATGTGTGTTTATGTGTGTGGATTAAACTTATTTTAGCTTTGTATTAAAGGTTAACTAGTCTTTGTCAATTTTATTTCATTGTTCCACTTTAAATCCTGGTAAAAAAATGGATGAAATAAACCATTCTACAATATTACTCTTGTCTATTTATTTGTTCTTTAGTTTATTTTTCATAAATTGTCAAAGAATCAAGTATTGTAATTCATGTGTTCTTTTTTTAATAGTTGAATTTATGAACCGACTGAAAACCTGGAGGTACTGGATGGCCATTTCGTTCTATTATGGGACTCCTCGGCAGTGCTCATCCACAATCCCAGGACTTCTGGTCTCGCACTCAAACGCTTAACCTCTAGGCCACTGGGCTGGCACCCAACGGTGTTAATGTCTAACCCCAATCAATCAGTGGTTTTGCGCAATATGGGATTGTGGAGATTGTTGAGTTTTTGATTGGAATCATAAGTCGATCAATGTTAGATCACCAGTGAAAACTTGGAAGCACGACTCATGAATTCAATTATAAAAATGACTAAAATCTCCACAAATTCCCATTGTTTTTTTTACAAACAAGATGACTCCATGTAATATCGTTTGCTATTTCTTATGCTTTTTATTATAGGAATGTAAATTCTCGAATATGATGAATATAGGCAATAAATTAGTCCAGAAACACTTTAATCATTCATCGTTGTTAATTTTGGATTCTGAAGTAGAACAAGCTGATAAACTTTTGGAAATAAATAATTCTTCATATACGACTACTGCAACAAGGTAATCTAATCAGGTGATTTATTTCGTCATTAGAATCAATGGTGATATATATTTTTGAATGTTGATTGTTCATTTCTTCCTTTAATCTATGTAATTTTTCTGTATTCTTATGATTTTTTTAGAATATGATGTTTTCTATAATCTTATTAAAACTATTAATATGAATTTTTAAAAAAAGTTTTGTATTGGAGGTAATTTCCCGTTGGATGTTAAGTTCCAGATATTGTTTTCGCGTAACCAATATAAGTCATTTCTACCTTCTGATGTTTCATATTAACTTTTGCAGCGCTTATTATAAATTAACTATTGATTAAAGTGTAGTTCTTACTTTCAATTAACTTTGTCTTAATACACTATTTTTGTAAGTTCATTTCTAAGTTGTATCCCTCTAAACTTTGTTACAGGCGAAGTTTTATGTTGAAATGGATGTTGAATAGATTTTTGATACTGTCATCATCGTACTCTTTACAAGTACACATTATTTACTTTATTTGCACTTCTTGTCTTAACCTCTTCATCTAACCTCAACATTGTCCATTTATTGGTCTCGTCCAGTCTTTTACTCGTTATTGGGTGTTATTATTTTTGATAATATTCACTGATCATCTGAATATTTTAATACGAAAATTTTCTTTGTTATTCTGAATAACGTTAAAGTACATTTCAAATAAATAGGCGTAGTTATTACACTGTATTAGTTTAAATTACCTAAAACAGGAAATACCTTATTATGATTTTTATCTTTCATCATTCACTTATTTACGAGTGCTACACAAAATGCTTGAGAGGGACAAAGAGATAAACAATTGATTCACTTTATTTTTTCGTTACTCACTCGCCTTATTATTGCGTAATCACCAGAATTAAAAAGAGAGCTTGTGTTTTTGCTAGCAGACCATATGTTTCCAATCGTTATGAATTTTCGCTCGATGATCTTTTTAATTATTACTATTAATTCATTTTGTATCTTCCCACTAATGTTTAGGTCTTCTATTGGCATATGCGCATCCTGTGCGGATCGCCTCGATATTGCCTTAAGTCACAAGTATTGTAAGCAATGGTGGATAGTGGCTAGCAGTGAAATCCAGGACATGCGTCTCGTCCTACCTAGGACTCATCAGCTGGATGTACCTGCATCCCAGAATCAGTGTCCACCCAGGGACTCGAACCCAACACCGTTCGCCTCAAACCACCGCGTTATCCACTTAGCTGTTGAGTGCTGATAGCTTATTACTACCAATATCTTATTCTGTCTTTTGTTCATTATTTATTTCTGTATGGACTGAATTGTTCCTGACTTTTATTGATGATATTTCTATTCGTAATAAGTACTTTAATCGAGTTCAATTGTGTGCTGTGCTCGGTTTTGAGATACATCTTCATGTGTGATCACTAGTACTACTACTTGATTGTCCTGATAAAAGTTGGTAAAAAGATGTCTTAGTCGTTAAATCACTAAAAATATGAACTCTAGGTTCGTGTTCGACTCCCCCCACTTTACTTGCTTCATTTTAAGTAACTTTCACTCAAAATAATGTGACTAAAAGTCCAGTAAGTATACAATTGATAAATAATTTAACATTGAATTTCTTTATTTTGGAATTATCTGCTTGATGACGTACGTATGTATTCGTATTTTGGTTTAGAATTTATCGTTGATGTATGCATACAAAAAGTAACAAATGTTGTACAAATAGCTTGTTTGTTATATCTAAAAAATATCGAAGTAAATGAATTTGAGTTGTTTATTCCTTGAAAAGAAACTAGGCGAGTCAAAAAGTATCAAGAGAAGTGGTGTTATCATATCTGAAATAAAATGATCGATAAGTATATCAACAATGAAATTAAATTTCTGTAAAAAACTGTCATATCGAAACATATTCAATATAGTTGTTTTGTGTTGATTTTCATTTGTTGAAAAATTTAGGAGGAAGACTATTAATAGTAATATCATTGGTTTTTTGCTTGATAAAGATTCTTAATAATAATGCACTAACATTAAATGATTAATCAATTTATGGTACTTGTACGAACTTGTGATTCGTTTATCCTCGATTGCCCGCTGATTACGAATTCTAAATATAATATGTTCATTTGTGCCCATTTAGTTCTTCCTCCCTTAAATTGTGGTATTTTGGGAATGCCTTGTCAGTACATTAATTCGAATACTTCTAATTATCATACAATTATCGGATTCTTCATTTAATCAACTTTGCATAAAAGAATCTTAGTTAAATTTCTTTTTAAAGTATTCTGTAAACCATTGAATAATGATTAATATGAACAGTAGTTGGATATAAAATGTATGATTTTTTTTTACTATGACGATTAAACGGATATCTTCTGTAGCCTCACAATCATTGATTGTGTACAATTCTGCGGATAACCTTGATTGGTCAGATATCCCAATGGACATCATCTAAAAACTATGTAGTCTTCTTTCGTGCTCTAATGACTATTAGTTCTTTTAAAGTTGTTCGGATCATATTTTTAAGTATATATTTTAGCCTGAATTCGTAATATCAGATTTCCATTTTTCATGTAGGGATCTTCTCGATTCCATCAAAACTCATGATTATGGTTGTTTACTTAAAAAAACTCAATGTATTCAATTTAGATGGTGTAAGGAAGGTGCCTAAAACAATAAATTCTACGCGTATAGATATTTGTTTACAATTATGTAATGAATTAGTTTATCTTTTTATTCTCTTATCTCTAGTTCATCTTTTGGGCGTTTACCACTATCATTATCGTACTCATACTCAAATGAGGTAAGAGAAATAAACAAAAGCATTAATGTCTGTATTTTTTAGCATTCTCCCCCCTATTTATTTATTTTATTTTTATTTTGGACACATAAATATTGGTACAAGAGTGCGCCAAATATATATGCGCCACACAAAACAATGAGAATTTGAGGGGAAGACGAAAAAAGAGAATAATAACGAAGAGATTGGTGTAGGGTAGTGTAATAATAATCAAAGTAATAATGAGGGAACGGAAAGGTACAATCAGAAGAAATCTTTCAGTTAAGTTAGATACAACCACTTTTTACGAAGAGAGTAAAAGAAGGTTACAGCAGGATCACCACTGACTTCTATTCTGAGGCATATCTGATAACGTCTCTAGCCACTGTGTTGCACCATCTCTCGGACCCCAGCCAGGGAGTCGTGAAGGACCGACACAAGCCAGTCCTTTGCAGCTTTCTTTCACACCACGACACCATGTCATGCACTGACCACCTCTCCGCTTCTTCCAACCAGTCCCAGAGTCGGCAAATAATGCACGACGTGGAATTCTCTGGGACGACATTCGGAGAACATGTCCAAGCCACCGAAGTCGGTGTTTCAAGATGGTAGCACCAATTGAGTTATCATCTCTGTGCCCGAACACACGATGCCGAACCTCTGCATTACTGACATGGTGTTGCCACTGAATGTCAGCAATCCTCCGGAGACAGCGATGATCGAACACAGAGAGTCGTCTAACATCCTCAACTCGGAGAGGCCAGGTTTCACAAACATAGAGCAAAACTTCTCTCACCGACGCTTTGTAGATCCGACCTTTTACAGTCAGACTAACATCACGAAGGCGCCAAAGGTGGCCCAGATTGGCATAAGCCGCTCTGGCTTTCACTATTTGTGCATTGATCTCATCACTCACACCCCCACGAGCACTTATGCAGCTACCCAGATACACGAACTTCTCGACTATTTCTATCTGCTCACCGTCCAGGGTGAGTACAGGATTAGGATCCTGCCAGTCTTGTAGAAGTACTTTGCACTTCGAAGGTGCGAAGCATATACCGTACCTACTGACATTGATTGCCAACTGATTAAGTGCGGATTGCATGACTTGGGCATCATCTCACAGTAAAACAATATCATACGCATACTCGAGGTCGAGAAGTCTTTCTCCAGGCAACATATCCACACCGCCATTAATTACTTTCGTCAGAGCTGTTTCCAGAATGTCATCGATAACAAAGTTGAAGAGGAATGATGAGATTGGGTAACCCTGTCTAACCCCACTGCTCGAATGGAATAATGGAGAGAGGTAGTTGTATGCCCTCACTCTGTCTGATGTGTTTGTATATAGGGCTTTAGGATGTTAATAAACTTCTCAGGCACAGCCTTCAATAGACAATCCCAGAGAAAAGTCCTGTCCAACGAATCGAAGGCAGACCTAATGTCAAGAAACACTACGATTGTTGGCCTTTGATAAGTATGGCGGTGTTCTAACATTTGGCGGAGGGTGAAGATATGATCAATACATCCTCGACCGGAACAAAACCCAGCCTGCTCCTCGCGAGTCAATCTTTCTCGGGTTTTGAACAACCTACAGAAGCCAATAGGTTGGACGCCATCGGAAGTAAACTTATCCCCCGATAGTTGTTACAGGAACGACGTGAACTCTTTTTAAAGATAGGGACAACTATGGACTCATTCCATGACGTTGGTACACTCTCTAGTTCCCAAACCTTTGTAAACAACGTCGTCAATTCCTTAGTCAAAAAGTCACCACCATCTTTAAAAAGAGCTGGAGGTAAGTCATCTGGGCCAGGTGATTTGTAACGCTTCAAGAGTTGAAGTTCCTTGCGGACTTCCGCCTCATTTGGTGGATCAGTCGTCACCGGCCATGGAGGGCAGGACAGTCTGACCGATGTTGCCGGAGCAGCAGGCCAGTTGAACTGTCCTTCGAAAAATTCTGCCCATCGTCCAAGACGTCGATGGATGTTAGTGATTGGCATCCCATCATCCTCACAGGTTGTTTCGCTCACACCAGACTTCTTGCTGCCAGTGGCTCGGATGAGCTGGAAGAGCTTCCGATAATTACCAGATGCAGCTGCTGCTTCCAGCTCATAAGCACGCTTCGACCACCAGGCTTCTCGGTCCTTACGCAAGCTTTGCCCAATTTCCTTACGTAACATCCTTCGTTTATGGTCGAACTCACGGTCACCCGGAGTAGACCGACGGGCTTCAATGAGTTGTAAGGAACCAGAAGAAACCCAGTGCTTAAAAGCGGGACGTTTCGCAAACCCACAACTGACTGTACCTGCCATTTTCATGGCGTCATGCAATTGCAACCAATGCTCATCTATACTTTTCGGTGGAGTGGTAGCTAGCCTAGAGGCTAGCTCGGTTCGATACTTACTTGCAACAGAAGTTGCAACCACCTTGCCAATATCAATTCGTTGATGGTGGTCACTTCGTTGTCCACTGAAAAGTAAGGCAAGATTGGCGCAGACCAAGGCATGGTCAGAGTCCAGATAGGTACTCCAAAAGGAGCGGCAGTCTTGTACACAACCACGCCAGCGGTAGCTGATCGCGATGTGATCAATCTGAGTCAAGGCTTGAGATGCAGAGGGAGGACGCCAGGTGGCACATCGGCGATGACTGTGCCGAAAGTTAGTGCTAGCCAGAAACAGGTTGTGGTCTGTGCACAGTTGCAGTAGACGGTCCCCGTTATCTGTCCTGCGACCAACAAGTCCGCATCGACAACCTAAACGACTCTCTTCTGTGCCTAGACGCCCAACCTGAGCATCCAAGTCTCCGGCTAGTACTACAATATCTGTCGAACGCGCTTTCTGGAGAAGAACAGATAACTGGTGGTAAAACTCATCCTTGATTGCATCCGGGCTGCAATTTGTCGGAGCATAGGCGGAGATAACGAAAAGACATCGTTTCTCACACCGATTTTTCCTCACTTTGATGGAACTCTCTAATGTAACAGCACATAACCCCACTGTTAATGGGAATCCAATCGATTAGTGCTGCCTCAGCTCTAGCGCTTAGTGCGAGACCAGACGAAGATGCCACGGGGTCCCCGGATAAGCGCACGTAGAACAAGCTTTTCGAAGCGACAGATGTAGAGCGAATTTGTAGTACTTCACCAGAGTCTTGAATACGGGTCTCGGATAGACAGCAAACATCGATATTAAGACTTTCTAAAGACATGGCCAGCCCTATCTGTTGTCCAACCTGCATAAGTGTACGAACATTGAAGGCAGCCAGTTTGAATGGTGCACGTGGTTTCAGAAAAACTGCTTCAGTCCTCGTATTCGGTGGTAACATACAATTTTCAACCGGACAGTGACTCGGGAACGTAAATAATAATAATAATAATAATAATAATAATAATAATAATAATAATAATAATAATGCGAGTCACTTGATTGTCATTTGAGGCGAGAGGAATATTTTTCATATGTAGACAGTTTATCATGTTTTTGTGTGCGGGTTGAGATACTGCCCGGTTGCCCAGACCGAAGCAGGTGGTTTTCTTAGGAGCACTCCCCGAGCCTTCGATCTGAAGGTTTGATCCACAAGGCAGTGGAGGATCGTGAGGAGATGCAGTTCCATGGAAGCCGGCGACCAACAATTGGTTCATACGCCATTTGTTCCCTTAGGATACTGGAGCGCATGTGCACCATTGATTTGGTTTGGGATCCGGTTAGAGCACCGGACATTCGCTTTCCGTCCTCTCATTTTCGTAAACCACACCCCGGCCATGAGAAGGCAGTGAGTAGGACTTCCCTGGCAGAGGCTGTATACGCGTGGCCGTGTGAGAGTATTTCGAGAGGGAGGGCGAATCAATCTCACTCTCGGCCATACCAGGGCATTTGGGGGCTAGTTGTGTAAAATTCGTTTATGTATATACACGATTTATCAGTGAATTCCGAAAACTAAACATGTTAAACAATTTAATAAATTATGATATAATATATATCACAAGTGTTTTTTCCTACAGGTCCCTTTAGCTTCTTGTCAACCGAATACGACATACTATTCCAATATTCCATCAACTATACCAATCAATGTTACTGTTCCCGCTGTCACTAAATATATTGTGCCACCAACCGATTCTATACAAGCTAAAAATGTTCTTACGGATAAGTCAAAATCATGTTGGCCAACTTTACCTGTTAGTGTAACTCAACATAATCCAAAAGTGTTAACTTCTTCCACAGAATCAAACAATTTACTTGTTGAATTAATTAACAATAACCGAAATGTGTTAACTGATAATGATATAGAAATGTTAAATTATTTAAATTTGGATTTAAAAAATCTTTTATGTAATGTTTCAACTACTTATACCACCAATACAACTTTAGTTGATTCACCTTCTCTTCATCATAGTAGTGTTAATAATAACAAATGTAACTCAATGGGTTTATTTGTTAATCGAGACGAAAATCTATGGAATCATAGTAAATCATTTCAATCCAATATGTCGTTAATGCATAAGACGCAACCACTAAGACATCCATCTCAGTCACCTCAAACAACAAGTCTACCGCCATTATCGGAAATATTTCTTCAGCATTCTAATACTGTGTCATCAACTCCCGTAGATGTAATGAAATATGAATGTTTAAATGATGATTCAGATAAATTACTAATGAATTCATCTGATAAAATGATATTTAATACGAAATGTATTAATAACGCAAATAACAAACGTAATGATAATTTTATCGCATCGTTCTCATTAACATCAGTAAATAATTCTACTGGATGGTCGACAGGTACGAGTTTATTTTTTAATAATGTATGTTTTCCTTGCGCAATTTTTATTTATTAAATAATGAAAGTTAATTTATTGACTTGGACTGTCAAATGATTCATTAGTTCATTGCATTTGAATGGATATCTATCCCGAACTAATAAAGTAAGCATTCTCGTAGAAGGTTTTAAAGTAAAAATATTATTTATTGGTTATTTAAACTGAAGCGGGTGAGATGATGTCTGATTTTATGATGCAGTAGTTCTTTTTTTTACAACATTCAACTGGCCTTCTAAACACTGATTGAACTGCACAATGAACGGGACGTTCGAGGTTTAAAAAACTGGATGCTATAATTTGGAGTCTAATACTACAATCCATCAATACAAATTTTTAAAGCTTTAATCTGATAGCGAAAGCGAGTCGATATGAGGAACTATATTGACTGTGTAAGGCAAGTAACTGAGTTATCAAAAGTAATGCATATGTATAGGATTTTCCGACTGGATTATTATCACAGAATATTACTACTCTCTGGGGGTATGGCAATTAAATCAATTGTGACTCAAAGCAATAAATCATTCTTAAAATCACCCTACTCATTGAACTATACCATTCAACCATTTGTCTTTAAAAATTCTCAAGTATTCTAACTATGATATTACTGGTCGTCTAAAGTTATAAATGCAAATAAGTGAGTTTCAACTCTGTGGTCTGAAGGTTTTTTGTTTGCCACCAGACTTAAAGGTCCTGGTTCGCGATCCACAACGGCGTCATAGATGCCTAATATTAAAAAGGCTCATACTAAAACGAAACAGCTCTTCATTTCTTGTTGGTTCTCAATGTTTGTTCAGTTTAATTCAGTCCGTGACGTAAACTAAATATTTAAGAAATACTTGGTGTCTCTTTTAAACTCTGTAGGGAATAAAATACGTGTAACATAATGAAGTGCATTATTAGATTGATCAGTTATAATGAGAATCGTTAGTATTTAGTTATTTTGAGTCATAAAATGATGTAGACATATAGTATGTGTAGTTTTTTTCCTATAATTGAACGCAGAAAGCAATCTGATGATTCAGTATCAAGCTTTAGAACTGTTTAAAATTTCGGACCTTGTTTAAAACAATTATTTTTACAAACGAAATAGGTGGTTGTCTGTAGAATCCTTCAGTTGCACTACATTTACTTAAGTCTTCCAAAATAATCTAGCTACTACTGATATTAATCTTGTAGGTAATTTAACAAACTTCAACCAGTCATATGCTATATAGGGCTTGACACAAATGTGCATCGATCCAAGTCACATCACATCAGTATAGATAGATAAAATTAGCAAGATAAATATGAACGTATTAAAGGTGGCTGTGATGAAAAAAAGATTAGGATATATAGGATTTGGTTCGAGAAGAAGGAATGAATTCGTGGAATATGGAGTATGGAATATTATTGTAACTCAAGATCTATGAGTAGACTGATTTTGAGCCATACCATCGAATTTCTCAAACCATTACAAATAATGAGCATAATCTTGCTCATTACACGTTAATTACTGTTACACTAGTCACTTTTTAAATTTTCTTTCAGAAGCAATTAATAGTTTGCCATGCGACACAAGAAATATGTTAGCACGATCGCATTCAGTTGGATATCATCAAGAAACTTCTGTTACTACATCATTATCTACAATAGGACCAGGAGTAGCAATGACAACATCATGCCCTATCAATCGTACACCGATTATTAACGTGAATTATCCATTGACAACTGGAAATTTAAATACGAGCCGCTTACCTATTATTGGACATTCTACATCTACATCTGGTAAAAATAAAATGACGTCTGTAAGTTTACCACTACCAATGTGTACTACTAATTCTACTGTGAAAAATTTAAATGGATCTCAACAACAGGAGGTTTGTTATTTCCTTGATTTGTTTTTCCATCATAAAATGCAAATTGATTATTTTTGTTTATCTTATTGTTGTCAGAATACCTTTGTCTTTTCAGAGATCTCTTATAACGCAGTTTTGTTTATCTTGGTGAAATTAGTTTTAACACTTATTTTTAATGAAAAGTGCATTACTTATTGCTCATTAGAGTAAGCTAGGTTACGTTAGATTCCGTAAGATTCAAGGTATCACCTTGCTGTGATCATTTCCAACTATCATGAAACCAGAGTCTAATTTTAACTTCTGTCTATTTTCAACCAGCTAACATCAAGACAAAGGGTACACGATATCGAGCCAATTAGTCTAGTGATCACACCGCAAATTGATTGATAGAATTCGATAGGTACTAAAGGACCAGACAGACAATATTGGACACTACTTAGTAATCCATCAGTATATATGTATATGACACTTTGATCGATATCATTGGCAGGCTCTATGTAAATGATTACTGACTCACTATCATCGGATTCTTTTTTGGTATGATTTTAATCTCTCAATTCTCTTAAATGTCCTTTCAATAATTAAATCAAAGCTGTGAAAACTTGCTTATTTTTTTCTATGATCATCTCTGAAATATTAGATATTGTTTGTTGAATTTTTCTTATCGAAATGAATAGATTAAGTATTAGGATTTTAATATGACACCACATATCATCAAGTATGTTTATGCTTATATTTTTACCACACCATGACAACATGTGCTTCTTGGATCATTATTGCATGTTACAAATAAGCGATTCACATGATAAATCGTATGACTATTGTTACTTAGAGAAAAAAGAATGAATAAACTAGACTGTACTATTCAGTACTTCATGATTTAGATCATGCAGTGAATTCCAATGTTATTTTTTATTTGGAAATATGGCATTTGATTAATTATGAGAAAATAAATAAACTAAATGAAGCCTATTGATACTGAGACAAACTATTTTACTACTTAAGCATAATAAAGATAAATTTGGTAAATGATTTTTAATAAGAATAATTTAGCTTTGCTGCTTAATTGTGATATTTTTGTCCACTTTTATAAAGGTGTAATTCTGTGTGTAGACTATGTTATTTTCTCGTCAAGTGTGTTCGATTCGCGGAAAATTGTTTATTGAGCATTTTGTTCTAAAATTTTTATTCATTTATTTCTGATTCGAATGGAATAATGAATGCTGAACATTTGAATCAATGTAATTTTCTATGTATACTTAATTTTGTCGGTCTGCCATTCGAAAATCATCTGAATAATAGGAAGTCAAGGAGTAGTAAATAACTCCTTTGTTCTGGCTTAGGTTATTTCTACAAAATCTCTTTCTATATCACTTTCAGTAATGTCAAGTTTTATTGTAAGTGACATGGAACTTCACCGATCAATAGGTCATGTAGCTGTTTTTAACAGAAAAACGGATATTGTTACGAAACAAATATTTCCGTCAACATTGGAATTATATAATATTTTATTTTAACAAATAGATATTGACAAAAGGAGGTACCAAATACATATGCGCCACACAAATCTCATTCGATATGTGTGAGGGCTGAGATACTGCCCGGGTGCCCAGACCGAAGCAGGTGGTTTTCTTAGGAGCACTCCCCGAGCCTTCGATCTGAAGGTTTGATCCACAAGGCAGTGGAGGATCGTGAGGAGATGCAGTTCCATGGAAGCCGGCGACCAACAATTGGTTCATACGCCATTTGTTCCCTTAGGATACTGGAGCGCATGTGCACCATTGATTTGGTTTGGGATCCGGTTAGAGCACCGGACATTCGCTTTTCGTCCTCTCATTTTCGTAAACCACACCCCGGCCACGAGAAGGCAGTGAGTAGGACTTCCCTGGCAGAGGCTGTATACGCGTGGCCGTGTGAGAGTATTTCGAGAGGGAGGGCGAATCAACCTCACTCTCGGCCATACCAGGACATTTGGGGGCACATTGGAATTATTAACTAAGATAACCTAGTTGCTTTCGAAAGTTTCATCCTTCCATTGTTATCTAACTACCTATATATTCCAGTTAACCACCAGAAGAAAGAGAAAGCAGGGAGAGACAGTAAGCAGCCTTGTCTGACTCCGGTCATCATTTGGAATGCATCTGTCAGCTACCCTCCATGCACGAATTTGCAGTGTAGTCTGTCGTATAAATTTCGCATGATATTGACGATCTCTTCATGTACTCACTTCATAGTGCCAAATAAGTTTTCACAATATTCTTCTATTCACACTGTCAAATGCTTTCTCATAGTCAGTGAAGTTGATGTACAGTGACCAGTTCCATTCAATTGATTGTTCAACGACGATCCGTAGTGTTGCGATTTGGTGTGTGCACGACCGATCCTTACGGAATCCGACTTGCTGATCTGAAAGCTGGACGTCTACTGAACCTTTCATCCAGTTCAGCAACACTCGGTTGTAAGCCTTTCCTGTTATCGATAATAGTGTTATGCCTGTGTAGTTTTCACATTTTCTCAGATTTCGTTTCTTTGGTATCTTGATGGTATGCTTCTTACCAGTATCTCGGTACTTGTTTCTCCTCTCAAATCTTCCTGAATAGAATGTGAAGCATACTTGTAGTTACTTCTATGTGTGACTTCAATGCATCAGCTGATATATTGTCAGGTCCTGCTGATTTCTCACTCTTGATTTGTCTGGTGGCCATTCTGATTTCTTCGATCGTTTGTGGAGTGACATTCATACGAAGGTCTGTGTGTGCTGCTTCGAAGTCTGGTGGGTTCAGTGGAGCTGGTCTATTGAAGAGTTTCTCTAAGTGTTCTACCCATCTGTCCTTCTATTCTCGAATTTCAGTGATTGTCTTGCCTTCTTTATCCTTGACCGGTCTTTCTGGTGTACTATATTTTCCTGCCAGTTTCTTCGTTGCATCATAAAGTTGTCTGATATTTCCTTCTCTTGAAGCTTCTTCTGCTTGTCAGTTCAAATACTCCTCTTCACTTCCTTGTTTGCTTCTGTGTATTCAGCTTGTGCGTTGACTTTCCCTGTTCTTGTTCGTGTGTTGTTAATTGTTGTCTTCTTGTTCTTTCTTCTGTGAATCGTGCGCAGGATTTCGATATAGATCCCAGCACCTCCTGACACGTTGAAGATAGTATTTCTCTATTTCCTTTCCAACTGTCCTCCATCGTAGTTTCTTCTTATTTCAGTAGATCCTGTAAGGCCTGGCTGGCACCTGTTGATGAGAGTTATGTTGAATTGGTTGAGTTTGCCAGTGTCGAATCGAGTCTGTATTGAACCCTTGTAATGCTGTTTGTCCAGTTGTCCAGTGTTTCTTTCGCTTCAGTTTCATCTTTGCAACCAGCAGCTTGTGGTGATCTGTATCTATGTCGTCGCCTCATCTGGTTCTCATGTCTTCTATCGACCATGTGAATTGTTTACTAATGTAAATATGATCTATCTGGTTCTGTGTAGTGTGATGCAGTGAGATTCATGTGGCTTTGTGTATGCGTTTGTGTGAGAATATTGTGTCGCCTGTAATAAATTTGTTGAATGCACAGAGATTTGTAAATCTCTCTCCACTCTCTTTTCTCTCTGTCAGATAATGTCGTCCCATTATGCAAACCTGTTCTATTCGATTTTGTGTAGTATGATCTAGTGATACCCATGTAGTGGTAGTTCGTTCTGGTTTACTTTACGGCTGCGAAACATAGCCATTGCGGGTAGACGATGCATATGAGTTACTAGTATTGAATCACAGATATCTTAGAAATATTACTCTCATCTGCTGGGATCACCGGGTAAGTAATAGTGGGGTTAGACTCAGTTTATTAAGGAATAATGGTAAATCAGTTGATGAGTTTGGGAATCTACATTGTTTGAAATGGTTGGGCCACGTATTACGCATGCCTAACAACTGAATACCACAGTGCGCAATGCTTGCTAGAGTTGGAGATTGATGGAAGAATGTTAGGGGGCGGCCAAATCAAAAACGTCGCATCAGTCCATAAAGTCATTAAATTCTGATCTGTGCCATGTTAATATGTATATACTCTTTGTGTGTTCTAAAACTGTGATATTAAAATCGCTTTATATCTTTCTTTCTACGAACTAATTCTTTCTCTCTGTTTCATATCCTTATGTGCAATCTTTTTGTTAAATGTATTACTACCATTAAAGTAACTGCATTTATTAATTTGGTGTTTTCTTGTTGTACTAATGAGCTGTGACATTTTGGATCGATGCATATATGTGCCTGATTCTACGTTGTGGCTGTCTGGTTGGGGATTATGCAAAAAATGTAATCTTTTGAATTCACCTCAAGATTTTGTTTCTTACTTATAAAATGTTATTTTAGTGAAAACTGAATTATCACAGTATATTCCTAATCTCATGTAGTTAAACATATTTTTTTTAGTTTCTGATATACGGAATAAACAATGCTGTCCTCACAAATATATATTTATTGTATTAACATAGAGTATCGACCGCAAAGAGACAATAATTGTAATGTGTCTAATTTCTATGACTATAACTTTATTGAGATTATTCCAAATTTGTTTAATACATCATTTCTTGAAGATATTTAATTATTTATACTTTTGTAATTTTTACAGGGATTTTCCAGTGCTCACTGTAGACGACAAAACAATAATAATATACCTTCGAACATTGGCAACATTTCAGTTTGTTCAGTGGGTACTTTCAATTCAGTAAAACAAGCAGGTTCGAATTCCCAATTGTCATGTAATAAATCACGTTGTTGTACAAATGGTCAAATGGCACCAGGAGCAGTGACGACTATAACACCATCAGATTCATCATTATCATCATTATACCCAGGTACAGAATTGGTCAACGGAAAACCAGTTGTAGCTAAATGGCGTCGTGCGTGCAGCTTTTACTTACGTGGACATTGTAAAAAAGAAGATTGTGAATTTGCACATGATTTAACAAAGGTGACTTGTAAATTCTGGGAGATGGGTGAGTGTTTCAAAGGATCCACCTGTCCATTTCTACACGGTTATCCACCAGAATTGAATATTGAGCAGCAGCATTCATAAGTAATAAACTGGAATACGCGTGTGTGTACATGGGCAGCTTTTAGTGTGTTCATTTCCCTTTTTTCTACGTAACGCTCACAATTTGATTATTTTATTCCTTTTGTTTACTTGTACCAAAGAGAGGCTCCATACGGGAATACCTAAAAGAAAGGAAGTGAAAACACGACATAATCCTTATTTAAATGCATTTTGTTTGTATCTTTGTTGTCTTTTAATATGTTAATTTATTTTGTTTTCCTATCGTACATATTTTACGTATGGTTCAAGCTGAAAGCCCTGTCTCCCTCCCTTCTTGTATTATTCTGAGATTATTCTACTGGGAGAAACGAAAAGAGAACATTTTTACACTTTGTTCACGTTCATTATTATTATTATTATTATTATTATTATTATTATTATTATTATTATTATTATTATTATTATTATTATTATTATTGCTATCGCCGTTATCATTACCATTATCAACATTACTATTACGACCGTTATCTTTTTTTACTAGCAATAGTTTTCTCAAACTTCTAAACAAAAAACATCTATCAGTGGGTACTGTCTATCTTGTTTATTGATTTAACGAAAATCGTTTTCTTTTATATCAATGCAGATATACTAACATGAATGGCACAAGTTCTATAGTCTCTACTTTCAATTCCTCACTCACAAATTTGATTTTCATCTATGTATTTTTTTCACTCCGATTTTATTGTATTGGTTTATTCGTACTTTGATATTTTCCTTTTTATTTGTTTACTTGTACTCATGTCTGTAGTGTTGAATATAGTTTCAGTTGACAAGATGCCTCCTTTTGCCGTTGTTTTTTTTCACTGTAAACGTTTTTAATTATTCTACCTGTTTTTTTCTTTTACTGTTTTCCTTTCTTTTCCCAAATCCTCACTCTCTAATAATGTGTTAATATATTTTTGCAATTTGTTAGTAGTATAATTGTTAACTTTGACTATTATAATATGGTTTTTTTGATTCAGGTAGAATTCCACCGCTCGTTCAACAATTAAGGTGTTTCAGTGGTAGAGACAGAAAACAGTGATATATGATTTCGTAACTGTTGTTGGTATACACTTGAATCAAAACAGTAAAGAAAAAAGCAACAACAGATACAACTTTTAGTAATATTGGTGGATTTTTTAAAACTTATTTTAAAATATGCACATGTACGCATTATCGAAGGATATGAGTTCTGTTTGCTTGTTCACTCGCTCATCTGTATGCATAATTGTACTTTTGGTTTAATTTACTAAACATGAGAACGATGTTGATTGATTATATTGATTCATCTAATTCTCTTCTTTCTCTCAAAATCGATTTTGCCTGAACGGAAACAAAGATAACAAGCAATTAAATCTGAGCGATGTAATATCTTTCAGGTATTATTACTCCGATGTCATTTGCTTTTATTTTTATTGATTATTTACTTCATCATACTCCCTTTGTATCTCAGGTGGTAAAAACGTTTCTGAGATTCATAATGTGTTACTTCTTGTCCTTAAAAGTTGACTGATTACTGTTAACTTTCTAGGCATTTACAAATCTGTTAATTTCTTTTTATAGCGTAATAGAAAATTTTTCTTTACTATGGTAAATAACTTCCTATTCACTTTGCTCAATATTATTTCATTTTAATATAGAAACAAGAAATGAAACAATTTTAATCCTTTTTGTCTATTTCTCTTTGCATCACACAAATATGTACACATTACATGGTACATCTACTCTTTATATGTTTATTGACCTATTGATTAACTGCTGCAGCTCTCTTTCTTTTTATCTACATTTAGTACATACCACTTAATCTGTATTGTTTTTCGTGCCAGTTATTAGCTATATCATATATGATTAAATTAACATTTAGTTAACAGTATTCTTTGTGGATTACATTATACTTTAGTACAACGTCTCAATCTATTTATAATTTCTCTATCTGTGCTTCTGAACGATAAAGAAGTTAACAGTGTCTGCAGATATGTAGTTGGTTTTTCTGTTTGACGTGAAAACTGTTTGTCAATATCTTTTAGTGTGTACATGAATAGAAAACAAAGACAATTGCTTGTTTTATCATATCTATATAATATCTGCATTGATGAATATCATAAAGAGATAAAGTCTTATTGTCTCTTTTTTCATATGAATAAAAAAATTATTTGCTCAAATTTGTTTTGCGTCAGTTTTGAACACTTATCTATACGGGGAAGATGATGTTTACTATCGAATCGTGTTGTGATTGTGAAGGGATAAGGTTAAATCCTGTTTCAAGGTAATTTATAGAAGGAATTATGTGGCGAAGCATTTAATTATCGCCTACACTTGAATAGCAGTGAAACTATGTACACCCTCGTGTATTCCGCTCATGTTTTCGTAAGGAATGATATGTTGTTTTTCTAATGTAGTTTAAGTGAAACTTGAATATGAAATCTAATGGTCGAAGGTTCTAACCCCAACCCTTAAATCATAGCTTTATTTGTGTGAATCCCTTTTCAAAATATATCTATAAACACATCTTTAACTTCAAATGAATTAGCTCGTATTTCCCTTCATAGCACGGCACTGTAATTGAGTTTTATCTCCATAGAAGATATCACTGTAGATCTACTTCTGGTAAAATATATAGTCTCTTATATTAGTCAGAATTTGATTTGTAATGCATGGATCCCTATAAGGTTTCTTCTACGTTAAGCGGTATACCGAAATCACGTTCACAATAGTGTTTGTCTTCTGATAAGCTTTCAGCTATAAATTTCTTATCTTTACACATGTGCTTCTGTACTACACATTACTTCGACCCGCTTAACATTTTCGAATAGATTCTCACCTGTTCGTACTGTTCCCTTTTAACTAATATCTATTAGTCAATATATTTGTTCTTTTTCTCATCATAAATGCTGACATGGTTGTTCGATATATCCTGATGCTTATATTTTTAATGGTAGCTAGTAATACACGTTTGTTCATATTTAGGATACCATCTAAATTCTCCTACATTCTGGTGTCGATATTCCCATATATATACATTAACTTAATCCCAGGCCTTTAAACAAGTTATAAATGCGCTTTTAGATTTTTTATAACAGTCTTCATGATATTTCTATACAGCGATCTCTTGAGTTTTCAGCCGATTTGTCGGATGACAAGAATGCGGTGAGTCTATGATTTATAGATGAACCAATCAGATCTAAAGTAGTGACTTGGATTTTTGTGCGAAATTCATATAACTAAATGGAATTTTGGCATTATAGTTATTAACAGTTCGTGACGAAAACTCAATCTAATTCCAAAGCTTAGTTTCCAACTCTAACTCCCCATCCTAATTCCTCACACTAATTAAAAACCCTATTTTGGTGATAGTAAGTGGTTGGACTTTCTCAAGGCCACTTAAGCATCTTTCAAAGGTCGTTCACAAGTTACTAGCTCTCCATGAAACCTTATAAAGTTATTTTTTGGATAAGATATACATTGGCAGGGACAAATGTTTTACTTTCACATAATGTCATTTTAACTGTGCTGTGCCAGGAAAAACTATTTTCAACTTGAAATAATTTAACTTGTAAATAGAGCTATCGTATTCAGTGTTCAGAAGTTTTCTACCGTTGCCACTAGGATTTTATTTTAAATCTTAATGTCTCCATCTTAATAATTCTAGCTGTTTTGGCAGTATAATATAGTTTGACGGGAAAGTTTAGAGATAGACAAACGTCCATGCCTAACCTAACAATAAAAGTACAGTGCAAAGACAAACTTAAAACAACGGCGACGAATATTTAGCCAGTCATCAGCCAATTAGAAACAGTTTTTTGCAATTTGTCCCTGATTCGAGTTAGAGGAGATAAGGCTACATTATAAGAGAAACCAGGATGGACTTCCCAAATTGCCTTGAGCTGTCCCTGACACAGTCGGCCAATCAGAAGACAGCCTATTAAATTTAAAACTAAGCGCATGTGAATATTCATCCATAGATTTTAAATAACGTTTTGTGGTTTTGCGCGAAAATCATCCTTGTATATAGCTACAAAGATTTCTTTCATCAAATCTAAAGTCAATTCGTGATGAAAACCTTGAATCTTGTCCTATCGTACATTCCATCATCGGTAGACGGCATGTGCGCTGATCTTTGTCAGTATGTCCCATATTGGGTGTTCCTACAGAAATAAACTACCAGAAATCCATGACAGTTTACCCTGCTCTAGTCATTCAGGAGGCGGCATGTGCAAATGAATGAGTTATTACACTAGGACTGAAACGTAGAATATGGCGTCTAGGATCGGTGCATTATGACTGACTCAAGTTCATGATGAACAATTTAACCGTGGATTCTAATACAAAGTCCTGACACTAATTCCTTATCCTATTTTGATGAGCGATTCAAGACCTTAAGGCAATTTTCACGTTCAGTGACTCTGGGGTATATTTCAGCTTACCGGGATTTGGAATTAGACACTTAGGAATTTACTCAGAATGAGGGTTATAAAGTTTGGACTCAGGTACAGGGTTTATTTGCGTTTTGTATACACTCTACATAGAAAGCATTGGGCATTGGACACTTTGAACATTCACTTTTAATTTTCGATGGAAAAACTTAGTCTTTGACTACCACTTTTAATGTTATGAGCACTATACATGGATATATTGCGTGATATGAGATAAAGTGATTCTTTTTTCGCCTAATTCAGTTTCTAGCATAGTTTCATGGGGCTATAACAAAAACTTAAGGTTTTTCATTCATCAGTATCGTCATTTGTCTGTAGGAAACAATGAGTTGTTCCAAACCATAATCATACGCATAATTTAAGATCGTACTGTGTTGGATATTGGAGAGTAACTGTATTTTTCTTCGAACTTCCAGTTTGCGGTCACATTAAAAAGTTGGTTCTCAAGATAATATTTATTTTATGATCGACCCTAGCTGACTATCCGAATTGAGCTTGTCAAAATTTAGTTTATTTATTAAAATATCATATAATTAAGATTTACTCGAACTACCGAATATATGAAAATAGCATAAAAATACCCCGTTGAACCTAACACGATTTTATCTATGTTTAACATATTACCATCGTAAAAACTCTTTAAGTACATTAATAAACTGATAATAAACGTTACTTATCAATCTCCAATCAAATCGATCGTAATCCAAAACATAAAATAAAGTTTATAAGAATGCATACTCTGAGCTAAGCAAAAAGTTGAATGTTTTGGAGATGCAAAGTCATTCTGTAAGTTATATTTTATCTTTTAAGGTAACTTAACCATTATGTTGATACTAGAGATCACTAAAAAATTCGGCAGTACTGTCATCTAATTGCAATATCTATACATTAAAAGTATTTCGAAAGAATTTATCCTATCAGCATTGAAATGAAAATAATTTCCGAAAACAT